GGGGGCCGACACCCGGGGAATGTCGCGGTTTGTCGAGGCGCTGCGGGGGATATCGCGACACAAGGGGAGCGGCGCAGCGCAGGCCGCTCTCCGTCACTAGCTCAACATGGCGGCCGCCCTCCGGCGCCAACGTCACTTCCGATTAGCGGCCGTGGTGACGTCACAGCGTGAGGCTGCGGCGCTTTACGTCCCCTTACGTCGCGTTGCGTCGGTGCCGCGCGGGAGGGAGCGGGCCAAGATGGCGGCGGGGCCCATCTCGGAGCGGAACCAGGGTGAGCGGTGAGGGGCTGCGCGGGGACGGCGAGTCGGTGGGGGGCGATTGAGGTGCTGAGGGAAAGCGGGTGGTTGTCGGAATGGAGTTCTGTGGGTCACCGGGAGGTGGAGGGGCTGCGCGGCTTTCCTGGCTGAGGCCGCGGTTGTGGTTCTCTGTGGGTCCGTTGGAAGGCTCGCGGATCTCGGCTCCCCCGTGGCCGGGATGCTGAGGGGCTTTGATTTCTCTCAGGGTCTCCTTGCGGAGCCTCAGATTTGGAACAGCATAAGGAGGCCGTATTGACTCCCGGCTTCAGGCAGGGCTCCGCTCTGGCATCTCCTGCAGCCTCCGATGACTTCCTCATCGAGCGCTCAAGGCTCAGGCCTGCAGTTCCCGCGCGCTGCTCATTCGGTCTCTTTTCTGCTCTGCTCCAGATGCGACTGTGTACGTGGGGGGTTTGGACGAGAAGGTCAGCGAGCCGCTGCTGTGGGAGCTCTTCCTCCAGGCGGGCCCCGTGGTCAACACCCATATGCCCAAGGATCGAGTCACAGGCCAGCATCAGGGTGAGTGGCAGCGCTCCCCAAAAGCTCACGTGGAGAAGAATGCTTTAGTCGGGGGGTTTGGGGGGAGTGTGGTCAGAGAGCAGTTGTTGCAGGAAGGGAGGTGAGGGTGGGTGATTTGCAGGGCTTTCTGCCTTGGGAGAGCCCTGGGTTTGGTTTCTAAGCGAGAAGGGTTGGTGCCTTCGGGCTGCAGGAGCAGCGTTCCCCTTGGAGGCAATGGGGGGCAGCATCAGGCCGTGGTTCTGCCCTGACCTAAAGCTTTGTGTGGGGCCTTGTTGCAGGCTATGGGTTCGTGGAGTTCCTCAGCGAGGAGGACGCAGATTACGCCATTAAAATCATGAACATGATCAAATTGTATGGGAAGCCGATCCGAGTGAACAAAGCCTCGGCTCACAACAAGAACCTGGATGTGGGGGCCAACATCTTCATAGGCAACCTGGACCCCGAAATCGATGAGAAGCTGCTGTACGACACCTTCAGCGCCTTTGGGGTCATCTTACAGACACCCAAAATCATGCGGGATCCAGACACGGGCAATTCCAAGGGTTATGCCTTCATCAACTTCGCCAGCTTTGATGCTTCTGACGCTGCTATCGAGGCCATGAATGGACAATACCTCTGCAACAGGCCCATCACTGTCTCCTACGCCTTCAAGAAGGATTCCAAAGGCGAGCGGCACGGCTCAGCTGCTGAGAGGCTCCTGGCCGCTCAGAATCCACTCTCCCAGGCAGATCGGCCCCACCAGCTGTTTGCCGATGCTCCTCCTCCTCCATCTGTCCCCACCCCTGTGGTCACTGCTCTGGGACCTGGCGTCACCCCTCCAGGTGGGTAGAGGCACACTGGGTTGAAAAGAGGTGGTTTTGGTGCTCAGTGTGTGTGTGTGTTTGTCTCTGCCTTGGGGTCTGTGGAAGCAGCCTGCTTTCACCTTGCAGCAGGATGCCCTGGGTGCTGACAGGACTCCTGAGTCTGGTCACCCGTTTGCTGTTACTGCAGTGTCTGGGGCAGAGCTGAAAGGCTTTGTTCTGTGTGGAGCTGCTCAGTGTCACATGTGGGTGCTCCTGGTGACAGCGCAGAGCCCTGCAGGATCGCAAGGCTGTGATCCTTGGGAATTCTGCTCGTGCTGCAGCAGCTCAGCCCGTGCTCTCCCAGTATGGAGCGGATGGATCCTAGTGCTTCAGTCTGCTGGTTTCTCTGATGCTGTGGCTTATGGTGCTTTCGCTTCTTTCCTGATTGCCTGGGACTCTTTGTGCTTGTTTTTCATCCTTCTGCACTCGACCAAATCTTCATTGCTGCTCTCTCTCTTTCCCTCCTTCCAGGCCTCCCACCCCCAGGATCATTTCCCCCGCCGGTGCCGCCTCCTGGAGCAATGCCTCCTGGCATGCCTCCTGCCATGCCGCCCCCACCGATGCCACCTGGAGCCGGTGCCCCCGGCCCCCCCACTGGGGCTGCACCCACCGGAGGGCACCCGCCTCACCCACACGCCTTCCCACCAGGAGGAATGCACCACCCAGGTACGTGGCAGCCAGGTACCGAGCTCGGGAGATACACAACCTTTTCCGGCCTTGGATAAATCACCCCCTCTTGTGGTTTCTTCCGTGAGGTTTCCCTTCTGTAAAACGGGGATGGAATTACTGCTGGTGTCTGGGAGGCACTGAGCACAGCGCAGCCGTGGTGGGGCAGGCAGACAGGGCAGAGGGTGCCCCAGTTCGCTGCTGAGACACTGGTTTTGCTCAGTGCTGAATAGAAGCGGCTGTTTGAGCGCCCTGGGCTGCGTTTGTTTGTGTGCTGGCTGTATTTTTGCACAAGATCTTGCTCTCTGCAGCACAAGGCAGCCTGGTGGCTGCTCTCCTCCCCAGGAAAAACAGGGAGAATCTGTGTAGGAGCAAATACGTCACGTCAGCAGTGCTGCTTTGGGGTTTCTCTTCTGCGTGTTCTAAAATGTGCCAAAAATGGCTTGGAGTGGGATTTCTGAAGAGTGTTTTGGTGATCCAGGAAATAATTCCCTTGTGGGAGGCATCCAGGTTGGGTCAGGACACGCGTTGTCCCTGTGTGGGGCACAGGGGGGCAGAGGCCGTTGCACTGCAGGCTTTTTGGGTGCTGTCCTGGCTGGAAGGACATCAACAAGACTCTGAGCCACCCTCATTTGGCTCTGGTGTGAAGTGATACAGAAGTGTGAACCTGCTCTGCACAGCCTGCAGCTCCGCTGGGTGGCAGCTAATTCAAGGCACGAGAACCAAATGTTTCTTTGATTCCTTTCCCTTTTGAGCCCTGTGGCAGTGGGGACTGAGCAGCCTCTCCCTCTGGACTCTGTGGCTTTCAAGGCAAGAATTCAATCCGTTTTGCATTGCCTTTAAAGAAGAAAAAAACCAAACAGTTCTGATTTCATTGTTTCTCATCTTGCCTGCTCTATAATGACCCCTGCTCTATAATAACCCCTGCTCTATAATAACCCCTGCCCCAAGGGCTGCAGGGCTGATTAGGGGGCTTTGTGTGATCCCAGCCCTGGCGTGTGCTGAGCAGATGGCTGCTGCTGTCCCTGTCACAGCCCGGCTCTTCAGGCTGTGCAGCAGCCAATTATGCTCTGCACGGGGAAGCCTGAGTGAGCGCTTCCACTCCATGCTGCCTGCTCCACAGAGCTGCACCTGGCTCCTGTTTCTTTCTTTTTGGGAAGGAGAAAGCGATCGGTGATTTGGTTTTGTTTCCTTACGAGTTTAAAATAATAGAATTGTTGGGGGGGGGAGGGGAATGCAGGCTTTGTTTCTGCTCAGAGCAGAGCGAGCTTCAAAGTCCGGATGCTTGAGTTCTTGATGGAAATCTCCCAGGTGGTGGCTTCTCCCTGAGCCCCTGTGCAAAGCTGTGCCACACTTGCTGGTTTTTCTTCCTTCTGCCTATCACAGAATCAGAGGGGTAAGAATCATCGAGTTCAATCCCCCCAGAAAGCCTTGCTTTAACCTGAAAGATCCGCCTGCTAAATCATGATCTGTTTGTTTCTATGAGAAAGAAATCTGATCTAAAAACACAGTGTGGAAAAATCACCTGGCATCACAGAGAATAGCATTTCTCCTGGAGTTGGCCGAGTTCCGACGCGCTGCAGCCAGCTCCTGTTCACTTCCCTCCTTTCTCTGTGCTTCAGAGGAGGGCTGCTTGCCTTCTCCCCTTAAATCTCCTGGCTGGGAGCAGAAAACTGCCATCAGGCCCCTTTTTTATACCCGCCGTTTCAACCAGCGCAGCCTGATGGGCTGCAGCGGGGCTTGGAGCTGCGGCAGCGACACCCTGAGCTCCTTTTATCCCCACAGGAATGCCTCCCATGCAGGTGCACCACGGCCCGCC